GCTACTCTTGCCCTAGTTTTCCATACCAGAGGATTTGTTACATTTGTCCAGGTTGAGTGACATCTCTTGGGTATGCTGCAAACAACTTGTGATTTGTTATTTTTTGTCTGGTTCTGGGCTGCAGCCTGCCCTGTCATTGGTATGCACTTTGTGGGGACTGGTCAATATACTATGCAAATGAAGTGAATAAGATGTTACAAAGGAAATGTCTATGACCTGCTATGCAAATGAAGTTTCTGTGGCCTACTGAGAGGGGATTGGTCAGTTTGTGGCCCTGCTGGAGAGGGGCCATGCTTTGAAATTGACAAGGAATTGTGTATATATGCAGCCAATCCCAGAGTTTTTTCAGACAGAAAGAAGCAGGTAGACAGGAAACAGAAAGGAGGGAGAAGAGGCAAAGAGAGAAAGACAGAGGTTTCCTTCTAAAGAGCTGTATCATGGCTCAAGGGCTACAATACAGAAGACAGTGACAGGCTCAGAAGGGCCCAGTGGCATTCAATGCAGGACTGAGCAAAGCCGATCCTCAGGGGAGTCTAGGAGGAACCTGTCCTCACATAGCTTAGAGGAGGCCTGCATGGCCAAGAGGAGCTGAGAGGGCAGTCCTGTATTAAACAAGGTCGACTTTCCCTACATGCTTCTTGTTCTTGAGTTGTACTGTTTCTTAACATACCATGTAACTCTAAGTACAGTTCCTGTGTTCTTTAAGACACAGCCAACTGCTGACCCAAACAGGGGAGGGAAAAGTGCTAAGGGGAAGGAGTGGTTGCTGTCAGAGATGGAACAGCTTGGAGAACGTGGAAATCTGGGATATATTTGACTTCCACTTCATAAGAAATGGCTTTGTATTGATTCTTATATTTGAAATTTTTTCATACAGGGGCTGAGAGGATTTTGTCCTTAGGGGACTGGGAGGGGGCCTGCACCACTGAGGAGCTGAGAAAGCTGTCCTGCACTGAAGAGGAGTTTGCCTACATGCTTCCTGATCCTGATATTGAGTTGTAACCTGTTGATCCTTAGTGTTAACTATGGTCTAACAGTTCCTGTTTTGTTTTGTTTTTTAATTTTTATTGTGACTTAGGTAAAACTTTACAGAGCAAATTAATTTTCTATACAGCAGCTCACACACACTCTATCTCATGACATTGACTGCAATTTCCCACAATGCAACACCTCCCCTCCCACTTCCTCCCCATAGCTACCTACCTCTTCCCTGTGTCCTTCCCTCCCATGAACTCTTGCCCGCCAGGCCGTCTCCCTGTCCTTCTATTCTCCCATGATTGATCTCTTCAAGGAGTATATCTATGTAATGTAAATGTTCAGCTTATATGCCTGTCTTTTGTTTGGCTGAAAGCCATAGGAATGGGTTCCAGTCCAGACCTGAAGGGAGCCAGGGGCCACAGTCTCAGGAATTCAACCAGGCTCTATCAGACCAGCAAACCTGGTCCCTTTTATTTTTTTTCATGATTTTGAGTTTTGTCCCATATTGTTCTCCCACTCTATCCAGGATCACCTACATAGATCCCCCTCTGAGTGGTTGACAGTGGTAGCTGGGCACCATCTAGTTGTCTTGGTGGTCTGACAGTTGTGTGTGGCCATTGCAATAGATTACTGAACCCAGAAGAGATGTACAAAACGCATGGATGGAACAGCTTGTATCAGAACTGGTAAAAAGGTTGGAGAGTGGGGCTATGCCTAACTTCCAGGCTGATCTGGATTTGCACCTCACCCCTCAAGTCAGAAGTGTTTGACTCTACTACCACCAGTACCCTTTTACAACAATCTCAAATTATAACTTGATCCTACAAACCTACTTAGGTCATCTTACTATTATCTTATCTTACTTATTCCTATTTAGGTTACCTTACTCTATTTTTATTTATCCTATCACTTTTTTTTTCCCATTTATCATTTCTGTTGTCATTTATTACTTTTTATTATGTTGGACTATGCAAAGTCTTTCAACTGTGTGAATCATAAACAGTTACAGGTAACACTGTAAAGAATAGGAATTCCAGAACACTTCATTCTGTTCATGTGGAACCTGTACACAGACCAACCAGCAGTCCTTTGAACGGAATAAGAAGCTACTGTGTAGTTTAAAATCAGGAAAGGTGTGCATTATTCAATCTGTATACTGAGCAAATAATTCAAGAAACTGAACTATATGAAGAACATGACATCAGGACTGGAGGAAGAATCATTAACAACCTGCAGATAGACGACACAACCTTGCTTACTGAAAACAAAAAGCACTTGAAGCACTTATTGATGAAGATCAAGACTACAGCATTCAGTATGAACTACAACTCAACATAAAGAAAACAAAAATCCTCATAAATGAACCAATACTCAACTTCAAGATAAACTAAATTGTTAAAAAGCAAAGTTGTAAATGCTAGCAGGGATGTGGAGAGATTGGGACTCTTATATACTGCTGGTGGGACTGTGAAGTGGCACAACCACTGTGGAAAGCAATATGGCGAATCCTTAGGAAGCTGGAATTGGAGATATCACTTGACCCAGCAAATCCATTACTAGGTATATATTCTAGAGAGGTTAGAACCAGGACAGGAACAGATACATGCACACTCATGTTCATTGCAGCACTATTTACAATAGCAAAAAGATGGAAACAACCTACGTGCCCATCAGCGGAAGAATGGATTACCAAACTATGGTACATATACACAATGGAATGCCATGCAGCACTAAAGAATAATGTAGAGTCCGCAAAACACTGCATACTATGGATGAACTTGGAGGACATTATGCTGAGTGAAATAAGTCAATCACAGAAGGACAAATATAGTATTAGTTCATTGTTGTGGAGGGTCAATGAAAGGTTTTTATATGGAGGGAAACTTTCTTTGTTGGTTTGCAGGGGTGGGAGGGAACACTGCAAAAAAAAAATGCATCGACCTATGTCACTTTAGTTTTGCGTATTTCACTGTACATAAATATTTCAAGAAAATGCATTAAAAAAAAAAAGAGGCCAAGTTGTGACTTTAAGGACTAAGGTACATCTGACCCAAGCCATGGTATTTTCAATTGATTCATATGCCATGTGAAAGCTGGACAATAAGGAAGAATGAAGACGAGTTGATGCATTTGAATTACGGTGTTGGCAAAGAATAGTGAATATTCTTCTATGGACTGCCAGAAGAATGAACAAATCTGTTTTGGAAGAAGTACAGCCAGGATGCCCTTAGAAATAAGCACAGCAAGACTTCACCTCACATACTCTGGACGTGTGATCAGGAAAAACCAGTCCCTAGAGAAGGATATCACACTTGGTTAAGGTAGAGGGTCAGTGAAAAAGAAGAAAAAGCTTAGAGAGATGGACTGACACAGTAGATACAACAACAATGAGCTCAAACTAACAATCGTAAGGGTGGCAGTGTTTTGTTGTGTTGTATACAGAGTTGTTATGAGTTGGAACTGACTCAGTGGCACCTAAGAATAACATCAATGTGTTAGACAATTTACTTATCACGCTTATTTTAAATCATCTATTCCCCTATTCAAGAAGCTGTGGTGGCACAGTACCTAAGGCATTTGACTGCTAACCAGAAGTCTGATGGTTCAAATCCACCAGCTGCTCCCTGGAAGAAAGATGGGGCAATCTACTTCAGTAATGATTTACCGCCTCAGAAACCTAATGGAGGTCGCTACGAGTCAGAATCAACTCGATGGCAGTGGATTTAGTTTTTTCATTTTTTATTCCCCTATTCAGGAACTCTGATGATGCAATGGTTAAGGCACTGTGCTGCTAGCCTTAGAAACCCTATTAGGCCGTTCTACTTTGTCCTATAGGATTCACTATAACTCAGAATCAACTTGATAGTAGTATATGCATAAGCTTAACTCACCTTAAGGTATAAGATCCACAAGAGCAAAGGTTTTTGTCTCTTTCAACCATTGCTGTAGGGTTGTAATTGACTGAAAGAAAGCTCAGTGCCACAGAAGAGGACCAGATAAAATGCCTCCTGCAGTAGCAGGAGGCCCCAGAGGAATGAGGCCTTCCCATTGGATATCCTCACTTACCTAGTTCCAAAATCTTGCATGACCAGTCTCATCCTATACCTCTCTATTCCTGTTCACTTCTAACTACACTAGCTTTCCCGATGCGTGAATACAGCAAGACTGTCCCCCCCAGGGCTTTTCCTCTAGCTGTCTCTACTCCTTAGAATACCCTTTCTCTTTTTCACTGGGTGGATGTCTCATGTCAATAAGGTCTCTGCTTAAATGTCACATATTCTTCAATGTGGCCTTCCCTGACAGCCAATCCAATCAATGTACCTATTCAGTCACTTTCTTAACATGCCATCCTACCTTAATTATCTGAACAGCCCTTATCACTATCTGAAATTTTCTTATCAATTCTTATCCTACACAATTCCATACATACACTACAAAGGGGGGGGGGGACGCAAACTCATGGCCATCGAGTCAATTCCAACTCAGAGCAACCTCCACTGTGATTCTGAGGTGGTAAATCTTTACAGAAGTAGATTGCCCCATCTTCTTTCTGAGGAGCAGCTAGTGGATTTGAACTGCCAACCTTCTGGTTAGCAGTCAAATGCCTTAGGCACCACACCACCAGAACCCCTTATACTACAAAAAGAGGTTATGAAATAGACATTTTACCGTTCTATTGACCCCTGTATCCCCAGCACCTACAACAGTGCCTGATATGGAACGAAACCCACTGCCATCCAGTCAGTTCTGACTCACAGGGACCCTCACTGAGTTTCTAAGGTGGTAAATCTTTAAGAAAGTAGGCCATTTCATCTTCCTTCTGCAGAGCAGCTGGTGGGTTTAAACTGCCATCCTTCTGGTTAGCTTTAGGCACTGTGCCACTAGAGCTCCTTTGACATGGAGCAGGTGCTCAGTAAAAACCTGATGAGTGGATATAGCAAGTAAAGGTGTCCCTGGGGACCTTCAGGATGCCAAGTCACAGTGAAGAGAAGGCTCCTATCTGGAGAAATACAGCATCTCACCTCTGGATAGTTTCCTCCTGTTCCTTAACCATGTGTGCCAACTGCTGAAAGATGGAGCCCAGCTCAACAATTGTAGACTCAATGTTCTGCATGGTGTCTGCTCGACTCTGTATGTAGGAATCCTTCAGGAAAGAGAGAGAGCACAAACGAACTGTGAGATTCCCTAGAGTAGGGCCTGGGTCTTTAGGACCTTCTCAGCCTGCCAGTCTGCCCATGGCACATTATATTTGCTTGTGGACCACAGAGGAGCAAAGGGGAGCTGCCACCCTCCTTCTGAGAAAGATGAGCAACTCTTCCTCAGTTCAAAGCCTGAGTACCTGCTCGTCAATGAGCTGCAGCTGCTGGCTGGTCCGAGAGTCCATCATGTCGATGGCCACATCCCCAGAGGCACAGGACTCTGCCCCCAAAACCACAGCACCACCCCCTGGTGGAGGAAAGAAGACAGGGCACATGTTAGTGGATAAAAGCCAGGCTAAAAGCCCACATGCTCTGGAGCTGAATCCCAGCTCTGCCACTTACTAGCCTTGTGACCTTGGGCAAGTTATTTAAACTCTGCGAGCCTCAGTTTCCTCAATCATAAAATGGGGATAATAATACTTGCTTTCTCAAAGGGTGGTTGTGAAAAGCAAATGAGGGAATGTGAATAAAGCAAGTATGTGTAAAAAAAATGTAAGATATTATCATTCTTCTTGGGTGAGGTGCACCTTAGTCTTCAAGGAGACATCTCTGGTCTTCGGCACTTGAAAGAGGTCTTTTACAGCAGATGTGCTCAGTGTAATACGTCACCTGATGTCTTGACTGCTGCTTCCACTGGTGATGATTGTGGAACCAAGTAATATGAAATCTTTAACAACTTCAATCTATTCTCCATTTACTGTGATGCTGCTTGGTCCAGTTATGAGGATTTTCCTTTTCTTTATGTTGAGATACAATCCGTACTGAAGACTAAAGTCTTTCATCTTCATCAGTAAGGGCTTCAAGTCATCCTCACTTTCATCAAGTTGTGTCATCTGCATATCACAGGTTGTTAATGAGTCTTCCTCCAATCCTGATGCCACATTTTTCTTCATATAATCCAGCTTCTCAGATTATTTGCTCAGCATACAGACTGAACAATTATGGTGAAAGGGTACAACACTGGTGCACTTCCTTCTTGATTTTAAACCATGCAGTATCCCCATGTTCTGTTCAAACAACAGCCTTCTGGTATATGGACGTGTTCTTGAGGAGCACAATCAAGTGTCCTGAAATTCCCATTCTTCTCACTGTTATTCATAATTTGTTATGATCTGTATAATTGAATGCTTTGGCATAGTCAAATAAAACAAAAGTAAACATCTTTCTGATATTCTTTGCTTTGAGCCAAGATCCACCTGACATCAGCTATACTATCCCTCATTCCATGTCCTCTTCTGAACCCAGCTTGCATTTCTGGAAGCCCTCTGTCAATATACTGCTGCAACCAGTTTTGAATGACCTTCAGCAAGGTTTTACTTGCATGTGGTATTAATAATGTTGTTCAGTAATTTCCACATTCTGTGGGATCACCTTTCTTTGGAATGGGTACAAATATGGATCTCCTCCAGTCAGTTAGCCAGGCAGCTGTCTTCCAAATCTCTTGGTATAGCCGAGTGAGTGCCTCCAGCAGGGCATCCATTTGTTGAAATATCTCAGTGGGTATTCCATCAATTCCTGGAGCCTTGCTCTTTGCTAATTCCTCCAGTGCAGCTTCAACTTCTTCCTTCAATACTACTGGTTCTTGAACATATGCCACCTCCTGAAATGGATGCAGGAGCTCTGGTGGCGTAGTGGCTAAAGCATCTGACTGCTAACCAGAAGGCTGGCGGTTCAAACCCACCAGCCACTCCTCAGAGAGAAGGTTAGGCAACCTACTTCTGTAGCGATACTGCCCCGGAAACCCGAGGAGGGGTCGTTATAAGTCGGATCCGACTTGATGGCAGTGAGTTTGGTTTGGAAATTGATGAACATCAACCAATTCTTTTTGGTACAGTGACTCTGTGTATTCCTTCCACTTCCTTTTGATGTTTCCTGCATTGTTCAATATATCGCCCATAGAATCTTTCAACATTGCAACTCAAGGCTTAAATTTTTTCTTCAGTTCTTTCAGCTTGAGAAATGCCAAGTGTATTCTTCCTTTCTGGTATTCTAACTCCATGTCTTTGCACATTTCATTATACTGACTTTGTCTTCATGAGCTGCTCTTTGAAATCTTCTGTTTAGCTCTTTTATCTTGTCACTTCTTCCATTTGCTTTAGCTACTCTCCATTCAAGACTAAGTTTCAGAGTCTCTTCTGACACCCATTTTGGTCTTTTCTTCTTTTCCTGTCTTTCTAATGACCTTTTGTTTTCTTCATGGATAATGTTCTTGATGTCATCCCTAATTCCTCTGGTTTTTGGTCACTGGTGTTCAGTGCATCAAATCTATTCTTTAGATGGTCTCTAAATTCAGGAAGGATATAATCAAGGTCATATTTTTACTTTTGTGGACTTAATTGTCTTCAGCTTCAACTTGAACTTGCATGTGAGTAGTTGATGGTCTGTTCCACAGTCAGCTCCCGGTCTTGTTTTGGCTAAAGATACCGAGTTTTCCATTGCCTCTTTCCACAGATGTAGTCAGTCTGATCCCTGTGTACTCCATCTGGTGATGTCCATGTGTATAGCTTTTGTTTGTGTTGTTGAAAACAGGTATTCCCAATGAGTAAGTCATTGGTTTTGCAAAATTCTATCATGAGATCTCCAGCGTTATTTCTCTCACCAAGGCCATATTTTCCAATTACCTGTGATTCTTCTTTGATTTCAACTTTTGAATTCCAATCATCAGTGATAATCAACACATCTTAATTGTATGTTTGGTCAATTTCAGACTACAGAAGTTGCCAGAAATCTTCAATTTCCTCATGTTTGGTTTTGGTGATTGGTGCATAAATTTGAATAGTAGTAGTATTAACTACTTGTAGGCATATGGATATCATCCTATCACTGACAATATTGTACTTCAGGATAGATCTTGAAACATTCTTTGTGATAATTAATGCCACACCATTCCTCTTCAATTTATCATTCCTGGTATAGTAGATTCAACATGGCCAAAACATTTCAGCTCACTAATACTAAGATATCAGTCTTTATGCATTCCATTTAATTTCTGACAACTTCCAGTTCTGCTAGATTCATACTTCGTATATCCTGTGTTCCAGTTGTTAATGGATGTTTGCAGCCGTTCCTTCCCATTTTGAGTCGTGCCACATCAGCAAATGGGGGTCCCAAAAGCTTTACTCCATCCACATCATTAAGGTCAGCTCTACTCTGAGGAGGCAGCTCTTCCCCACTTGTATTTTGAGTGCCTTCAGACCTGAGGGGCTCAACTTCCAGCACTATATCGGACAATGTTCCAGGGCTATTCACCAAGTTTCTCATTAATGTTTCAGTGTTTCACTGCTACTCATAAGGTTTTCACTGGCCAGTTCTTTGAGAAGTGGATGGTCCCTTCCTGCTTCTAAGTCTGTCTTAATCTGGAAGCTCCACTGAAACCTGTCCACCAGGGGTGACCCTGCTGGTACTTGAAACACCAGTGGCATAGCCTCCAGCCTCACAGCAACACACAATCCACCATAGTACGACAAACTGATAGACGAGTGGTGGTCTAACCCAAGCCACGGTATTTTCAATTGCCTCACATGCATGTGAGAACTGGATAATGAGTAAGGAAGACCAAAGAAGAGTTGATGCTTTTGAGTTGTGGTGTTGGCGAAGAATACTGAAAGTACTCTGAACTGCCAGAAGAACAAACAAATCCGTCCTGGAGGAACTGCAGCCAGAGTGCTCCTTGGAAGTGAGAGCTGCCAGACTTCGTCTCACCTAGTTTGGTCATGTTGTCAGAAGGGACCATTCCCTGATGAAGGATATCATGCTTGGTAAAATGTAGGGTCAACGGAAAATGGGAAAGCCTTCAACAAGATGGACTGACACAGTGGCTTCAATGATGGGCTCATGTATACCAAGGATTACGAGGCTAGCACAGGACTGGGCAGTGTTTCGTTCATTGTACATATGGTCCATTGTACATATGGTCGCTATGAGTCGGAGCCAACCCGATGGCACCTAACAATAACAAGAACATCATTCTTCTGGAACATTGAGTTCACTCCCAAAAGTGAGAATGTGGGAGACAAAGTACAGACCACAAGTCTCAGAAATCATGTTTGACTGAGACACAGAGACTACTGAAGTCCACACTGTAGTGACTAAGCAATCTCCTTGCCCCTCTATTCTCCTACAACACTTGCCTTTGGAGGATGCAACAACCAGAATAACTTGGCTTTACCCCCTCAGAGCTTCCCCTATGCCTATAACTTACCCAGCTGGTTGCGGGCAAGGGGCAGGGCTGACACGGGTGTCCGGGAGAACTGTTCCCGCCGGCTCTTCTGCTGCTTCAGATTCTAGAGTTGGGAAAGAAATGTAGGGGTCCTTAGGCCTCTGGCAATCCGCCATGTTACCCAGACCTTTCCTGTGGGCCCCCTGATCCTGTTGTCCTTACCCTTCCTCTTTCCCATTTCCCTTTCGGGCTCCTATCCCCCAGATTCCTACCCCTCCTATACAGGTTCTTCTCACCTCTGTTCTTACTTCTAAAACCGATTTGAAGTCGTTGGACATGGAGGCCAATTTGGACTAGAAGAAAAGGAAAGAAGGTCAGCCAAAGAACACCTTCCTCCCCTTTGCCTCCTTACTTCTTACCCCGGATCTCACCTGCAAGGAGACTACGATGGTGTTGGAATGGGTCTGCAAGTGCCGGCCACTCTGGCTGCCCTTGGCTTTCACAAAATCCTGAAGCTGGGCAATCTGTTTGTTGAGGCTATTGATATCCTGGTGAGAGAGCCAATGGAAAAAAAAGTCCTCAGCCATTATCTCACCCATATGGACTCCTCTGGCAGAGAGGACAGAGTGGAAATTACTAGCAGGAATTCGGTATCTCTGTCAGACCAGAAAGGCCAGTTGGGATTTCCCAAGGAGAGTGCAGTGAAGTTTGCTTCTAGCTCAGTCCCTGCAGAGAAGAGCCAGAAAGAGGTGAAATACAGCCTCATTCATTTGTAAATGACTGACTTATTCACCCTCTGCATTTCACTGTCCCATTTACCCTGTGAAGCCAGGCTCCCTGTGAGGCCATGCTCATGGCCACAGAATATCTTAAAAGGGCAATCTTGGACCCAGAGCATGCTGACCAACAAAGCATATGGGCCCTACTCCGGAAAAGGGGACAGTATTTAATATTTTCCTTGTTTCCCAAAGATATCAACAAGGTACTTTCAGTACAAAGAATTTCTTTTAAAAATTATCACAAAAGGGTAAAATCTGTGACTTGCCCAAGGTCACCCATGAGTTAGTATCACCGGCAGGCTTTGAATGCCAGACAATGTCTCTCCTACCCTCAATCCGTTCTCAAATGTCACTTCTTCAGCCAGGCCATCCTAAATCACCCCATTTAAATTAGTCCTCACTCCAAGCAACTCACCTTGGTTACTTCTTTCACAGAATTCACCACTATCTGAAATTGTCTTTTCTGTTTATTTGTATAATATCTATTTCACTAAATCAGGAAGTTCCTCCAGGGCAAGGAACACTCAACAATCTGATGTGAAGGATTGAAAAAACATGGAAATGAATTGTCACAAAAACTCTATTTGGAAGGTACTGTTATTATCTTTTTACTGATAAAGGAAGTGAAGCTCAGAGTAGTTAGATAACATATCTAAGATCACACTTTAAGGGGTAGATGTGAGATTTGAACTCAGGTCTGCATGAACCCAATGGGCTGGTTATTACATGCCCATGCAATAAATGCCTCAATAGCGACCCCTCCTTGGGTTTCCGAGGCAGTATCTCTACAGAAGTAGATTGCCCAATCTTCCTTCCAAGGAGTGGCTCATGGGTTTGAATCACCAGCCTTCTGGTTAGCAAATGCCTTAAGCACTATGACACCTGAGCTTCTAGTTAACGGAACCCTCTTCTAACAGCTCAGCACCTCTTGGTCTGTCCTTGGGCTCTGCACATCATCTTTGTACTGAACAAGCACAGAAGCCTCCTCCCTGGACTCTGCTCCATCCAAGTTCCAGGTCACTCTCTCCTCCTGAAAAGACTCCTTTGTAGCCCATGGTATTCAGTATGACTCTACACTCCTTAGCAAGGCCCACAATGCTCCTCACAACCAGTCTTCAACCTACTCTTCCAGCCTCACCCCATCTTTCACTCACTCAACAAACAGCAATTCAGTGCCTTCTACGTGTTGTTGCTGTTGGGTGCCACTGAGTCACCTAACTTATAGTGACTCTATGCTCAACAGGATGAACACTGCCCTGTCCTGGGTCATCCCCACAATCCCTGCTAAGCTTGAGCCCATTTCTGCAGCCACTGTGTCAGTCCATCTCATTGAAGGTCTTCCTCTTTTTCACCGACCGTCTACTTTACCAAGCGTGATGTCCTTCTCCAGAGACCGGCCCCTCCTGCTAACATGTCAAAAGTACAAGAAACAAAGTTCCTCCATCCTCTTCTAAGAAACATTCAAGGCTGTATTTACTCAAAACAGGTTTGTTTGTCCTTATGGCAGTCCACGGTATTTCCAGTATTCACCACCAGTATCATAATTCAAATGTATCAGTTTTTCTGTAGTCTTCCTTCTTTCACATGCATATGAGGTGACTGAAAATACTATGGCTTGAGTCAAGCACACCTTAGTCTTCAAAGTGAGATCTTTGCTCTTAAACACTGTAAAGAGGTCCTCTGTAACAGATTTGCCCAATGCAATAGCTTGCTTGATTTTTTGATTGCTGCTTCTACGGATGTTGATTATGGATCCAAACAAAATTAAATTCTTAACAATTTCAGTATTTTCCGTGTTTACCATTTTGCTTATTGGAGGATTTTTTTTTTTTTTTTTTTTTTTGCTTTTGAGGATTTTTTTTCTTTGTGTCTTTGATCTTCATCAATAAGTGTTTCAAGTCTCTGCTTTCAGCAAGCAAGGTTTGTTATCTGCGTATCGCAGGTTGTTAATGAGTCTTCCTCCAATCCTGATGCTCTATTCTTTTTCATATAATCCACCTTCTTTTATTATTTCTTCAGCATATACACTGAGTAAGTACAGTGAAAGGATACAACCTTGATGCACACTTTCCCTGACTTTAAACCACACAATATCCCCTTGTCCAGTAGAATGACTACTTTTGGTCTATATACAGGTTCCACATGAGCACAAAGAAGTGTTGTAGAATTGACGATCTAAATGTTAGACACTGTTATATAGACGTTTAGGATACGTTTGTGAAAAAGCAGGAGAAAATTCCCTGTGCTATGGCACGTACGATTTTCTTTTCTTTGTTGGGGGCAGCTGGGACAAAGGCAAATAATAAATATAACAAGTAAGGTAATTACAGAGAACATCAGAATAGAAAATGAAAGTAAAGCAGGGCAAGGGGAATCAGAGTTTGGGGTAGAGTATTAAACAGATGACAAGGGCAGGCATTCCTAAGCAGCTGATACCTGGTAAAGACTGGAAGGCAAGTCTTATTCTTGAACTTTCCCTTTTTAAGCCCTGTCTCATGTTTGAAATGTCCTTCTACTGCCACTAAACAAGACTTAAAACTGGTTCAGATTTCATCTCTACCATACAATCCTTCTCAGCACCCTCATGGGGTCTCACTGATCTTTTCCATACCACTTGCCACCTATTCATTGTAAGTCCTTGTTTACAGAGTTAGATACCTCTTCTAGACAGTGAGTCTGAAGGCAGGACTTCTGTCTCCATGTTTATGTCACCCGTGCCTAGCACAGTTCTTTGTACATGGTAGATGATCCAAAGGTATCTACTGGCTCAATGGATGAGTAGAATGCTTGGGGCTAGCTCTAGGAATTTGCCCTGGGCCTCCATGGCAATGGAAAATGATGGAAGTGATCTGATTGATGGCTAGTAACGCACCTGCTTGATGATATACGTTAGCTCCTCGATTTCCACTCCTTTATCATCAAAGAGTGACTTGCGCTTTGCCACTGTAGGGACAAATGAGAAGCCGTGACAGGTGTGGTCAGAGACACGACTCAGGGACATGACCTCAGCCTCTTTGATTCACTGCCCCACCTCTGAAAGACCCTAAAACACTCACAGATTGTCAGCTTTTCCAGCTTGGCAAATGTGTTGCTGAGGTCTTTCCCAATGTGCCTGCAAATGAACATTAGTGAGAACACTATTAGGAAGGACAGGAGAATGCCCTTCCCTCATCAGCTTCAGCACAACCAATCCCAGTGTTCAGTCAACACTATCAAAGGCAAACGCCCTTCTCTTCAGACACGACAGCACCCCACCATGCAGCTTCGCTCAACTTACTTGGCCATCAGGGTGAATTCACTGCGCTGCCGGACAGCACGCAGAGCTGGCTTGTTTGTTTGGATTCCATTCTGAAAAAGGGTAACACATGGTAACAACTTTAGTTCTCCTCTCCTCACTTCTAACCTTTACTGTTCCCGAGGTGCCCACTAAACTCCTTCTAGTCACGAAGTCCCCAATCAGATGACTTAGATTTATCAGTAGTAGTAATTTAGCACCCACGTTAAAGACAAGTAGATCTGAGTTCAAAGCCTGACTCTACCACTTACTAGCTAAGGGTCTCTAGGCAAGTCTCTGAAACCATTCTGAGTCTCTATTTCCTCTTCTCCAAAATAAAGACAATTCACCTACCACTTTTTTTTTTTTTAACTTTTTATTGTGATGTGGGTGACGGTTTACAGAGCAAATTAGTTTTCCATCCTATCATCTGTTGTTGCTGCTAAGATTAGATGACAAAGAAGCTGCAGAGCCCTTTGACCAAATCCCTAATGTATATATATGCACACATAGAAGTATAAGGAGCTCTGGTGGCACAGTGCCTAAGGCACGTGACTGCTAACCAAAAGGGTGGTGATTCAAACCCACCAGCCACTCCACAGAAGACTGGACAATCTACATCCATAAAGACTTACTGTCTCGGAAACCCAAGGGAGGTCGCTATGAGTTGGAATCGACTTGGTGGCAGTGAGTTCATTTATTTACTTACTTATTTATGATATATATAAATACAATATAAATACTAAATAAATGGTAGCTTATATGCCATTCTATTCCTAGAATCAGGAAATCAAAGAGATGTGTAACTAGAAAGACTGGCGATCATTCAGGAGAGTAGTAATCAACAAGAGCTGAATGTGAAAAATACTAAAAAATACTATTACTCAGATCCCATTTAGATTCAGAAATGTGGACTAAAACAAAGTGATCTATTTTTAAAAATACGAAAGTGATGCTGACAAAAATCAATAACCTAGAAAACTTCTTTCCTTTTTTCCAGATACAAAAACTGAAGTCCAAATAGTTCATTAACTTCCTCATGGTCACCAGGTAAACTTGTGTTAGAATGAGATGGAAACTAGAATTCTAGGTGCATGTCTCCCAGCTAAAGGCTCTTTCTAGAGCCTGTTCCTTAACCAAATCAAATACGGCGCAGCCACCTCTGGCCCTGAGGTATTCCTCCCAGAACAGCAGCCCTACCCTCAGGAAATCCCTACCAAAGTCAAGGTCCTCACCTCTAGTTAGCTAGCCTGCCTCTTCTGCTTAGTGGATCTCACATAGTCATTCCAACCTGCCAATGAGCCCCCCATCAGGTTCCCCCAGGAACTACTTCATTTAACAGTGCTAGAGCCCAGCTCCTCCCACATGAATAAGGCTCACTTCTCCCCCGCCCTTCCCGCTCCAGGTCCTTACCTGACGGCTCTGCAGAGATTTGCAGGCAGACAGGAACTCCTGGGTCCGGTCCCGGCAGGACATGGTGTCGGGAGGGGGAGGGATCAGGGCCACTGGGGGGGGCAGAGGGGCGATGTCGCTGCTGCTACTGCCAGCAGTTGCAGGGGACAGGACCTGTGTCTTTGAGAGACCCAGGTAGACACCCTGATCCGTGTTCTTAGACCCGTAGCGTTTCCGCGGGATCATTGAGACGCATAACCTCGGACTGTTGTGGAGGGGAGAGTGTCATTCCCCAGGCAGCCTCCCCTCCCACAAGTCCCCCTCCCCTCCAGTAAATCCTCAGGCCCTTTCTGCACTTGGCACGGACTTTTGCGCCCAAGGCCACCAGCAGATCCCGAGGCCGGACAGAAGTGGGAAGAGCCCCGCTTCCTGCCCGGCTCAACTCATTCCCTCCTCAGACTTTTTCCAACTTGGCTTAGGCAGCTAGAGTGCAGGCCTGGGGCCCTGAACAGAGCCAAGACCAGGTTTCGTGGCCCTGAGGCTCCAGTTAGGCAGCTGCAGCTGCCCCAGGCCCTAACTGGGAGCTCTCGTAACTGTAGGCGCCTTAAACTCCTCCGCGGAAAACGATGACTGGCTTCCTAAGGTGTACACACTTCGGTGGGCGGAGGGGGGGGGGTACCTCTAGGTGTTTGTTTGAAACAGGAAGTCCCACCCCTCGCTCCAGGTCCGCCTCCAGGAAGATTGCAACCACTGACTAGTTAATACCGATGTCTTGCTCAACAGGAGCTCTCCTGATTGGACAGTGAGGCATTCGCTCACCCCGAGCCGGGCCGGCAACAATTGCCGGCTCGTTCCCCGTTCCCCTCCCCCCCCCGCCTGCCGCCGCCCCCGGAGAGGTGCTGCCCTGGAGCTGACACGGTGGCTGGATCGTCTCTTACAGAGAATCCTACCTCCTCACTGCCGCCTACCGCCGCTGTCAATACCACAGTCTCCCGAAGCCGTCACCGCCTCCTTACTGAACGCAGAAGCCGCCGAAACCAGACCAAAGCTTTCAAGCCGCCACGTCACCCACACGCAGCCCCGCCCCAGGTGACGAAGGCACGGCGCCACGACCTTTTCTAGCCCTCCGACCTGGCAGACGCACCCCCCCACCCAAACGTAAGAGCGACTTCGCCCTCCCATTGGCTAGGCGATTCCGTAACCACGCCCCTGAGGAGCTGGCGTTTGAGTCAAGGGGGCTGGGCCAGCCTCAGGAGAGGAGTCTTAAAGAGCCCGCAGCCCTAATGGTCTCCGCGCGCAGTCGAGGAGCAGACAGCGGAGGAGCAGACAGCCGCGCAGGTCCACGTTAAAAATTTTATTCTCTGGAGGCTGGGGTGAACTGAAAGCCGGGCTGCGGTCACCCTTTCTCTGACTCCTCCTGAATCCTCGCATGGATGTTCTCCGGGTACATACTCCCCCGCTTGTGACTCTGGACTGACTGCCGCTTGGCCCGTGCGGAGCCCCTACGGCTGAACATGGAAAGCCGTCGCCACAGTACGGTGATTAGAAGGCTGTCGTTCGACTTTTGTCTTCGGTGGCTGGGAGTGTCATTGACATTGGTCCTTTCGGTGCCTATAGGGTCGACGAGGCCACTGAGCTCCACTCTAGCCTCCTCTGTCCAACCTCCCCGGCATTCCCGCGGGGCAGCCCACTTTCCTGCACCCAACCCGTTCCCCTGACTCTGCGTCTCCGATCCCACCTTCCGTGCAATCGGTCTCCTTGCCTGTCTCATCGGAGTTCTTAAAGTTCTTGTCTTGGCAGCAGCCCATGGCCCGCAAGGCCCGCACTCCGTGCCAGCCAGGCCAGCCCGCCCGCGGGCCCTTCGCCTGGCGTTTGTGACGTCAGAATTCCCGCTGCCCCAAGCTCCAGGAGCCCCCACCCCAAACCACCTGTTTCCTTTCTCTCATCACAAAAAGCTGAAAGTCATGGTGGGTGCTGGGATGTTTATTTACAATGTGGGTACAGGGTCTTTAGGGGCTGGTGGACCCAGGCCGCTTCTTCTTTCTGTGCCTGGTTTGGAGGGCACCTGGGCCCTGCTCCAAGTCAGGAAGCTTCCGCTTGGCAGCTGCCTCCAAGGAAGCCCAAAGTTCATCCGTCTCTGTGTCTTCTGCGGACACCTTGTTGGGCTCTTGAAGCTCTTCAGGCTCATCCTGGTGAATGAAAGGAAAGTTTAAGAATCAGGGGCAAAGTGACACAGACCCACAGGAGGAGGCGCTAGCTGGGAAATAATCCTGCCTCGGACTCCACCCCCACCCCCTTTATTTCCTGCTCCAGGAAAATCACTGCAGTCCCTGCTCTTAAATCTGGCAATAACCCTGTCAGAGAAGTGAAGCGATGGGGCTTGCAAACGGACCAGTCCAGTCTGCCCTCCCCTTTTTCTCTCCCCAAGGGACATCCTCACACCTATGCCCTTGGCTCCCACATTCTCAGATCCAGTCACTCACCTCCCAGTTATCCCTGCCTGACAGAAGGAGGCAGTTCAGCCGAGACTTGAGATAAACCTGCAAAAGATGAGGGATTTTACCATGGCCCCTAGTCACTCTTTGGGCCTGAAATTGAACTCATTCCCATGGCTTCCAGCCAAACAATAGACAGGCATATAAGGTGAACATTTACACCAGGGAGGTACACTTCTTAGAACAATCAATCGTGGGAGATCAGAAGGACAGTGTTTGCACAGGGAGATAGAGCAGAGGGCAGAAATGCACAGGAAAGGACACGGGAAAGGTAAGCACAGGGAGGAACCGGGAAGAGAACTTGCAATCAATGTCACGAAACAAAACATATATGAACTGCTGCATGGAAAATGAATTTGCTCTATAAACTTTCACCCAAATCACAATAAGAATAAAAAGAAGATGATCAAGGGCTATCAGGAGCCCAGGCACACTAAAAGTAGCTGGAAACATGAATGGTAACACAGGAGGCAGTGGGCTCTAAGGACTGTGAACAAGGTAGATGGGTCAAGGCTCAGAGGGTTGGGCACTCACCTTATGCTCCAGGCCCCGTGGGTTCCGGATCCTGTGTACCCTCAAGACCCTGTCCAGGCCACAGGAGGCTAATAGGGGCTTTGAAGGGTGGCACTGCAATGCCCGGACACTGCCTGCCAGCCCCTTCAGACAGCCCAGGAGGCGCCCTGGGGACAACAGGGGTATCAGCACTTGCTGGCTAGTCAACAAAACCATTTACTGTCTGATGTAATTACATTTCAACATTTAGTCCTCAGCATAACTGACACAGGAGTCACCAGTAATACCTCCTTTTTACAGGGGAAGAAACTCAGAGCTGAAGTAATGTGCCCAAAATTACACAGCTTTTGGTGAAACCAGGATTTGAACCCAGGCCATGTGGCACATGAGCAGAGCTCACAACCACGCAATGAGTGGCACTGCCACAGAGGACATCCTGCCCTTTGTCCTCGCCCTTCCCCCCTTTCCCTGGGGACGGCTGGCCCTCTTACCTTGCCGGAGGTCAATTTCTGCCAGCTGCCCATGCGTGTTCCCCACAATCACTGACCTGACGAGACCAGAGGCAGGCAGTCAGCTGGAACCTCCTGAGCCACCATCACCCACCCTACCCCTCCAGGCACTCACGTGCTCCCAGGAGTGAGGGTCATGGCTGTCAGTGGGTATTCTCCATAAGTGGCCTCCAGGACTGGCCGGCGCTGGGGGGAGGCTGGATCGTAGACACGGACCTGGGGACACAGACCACTCTCAGCCAGCACACCCTCCTGGGGCTTCTCCAGACCCTCCCACTTGCCCACTTTGACCCATTCTCAGAACAACTTTATCATTTGGTCATCAGAACAATCTGTGAGGTGGGCAGGTGTGATGAAAGGAGTTCCTTTCTGTGGCCTCTGGTCTTGGTTCTATGGGAAAACAGCTTGAGAGATTTTTTTCCCCAGAGTCCTGCGTTTTCCACCCCAGAGGTTTGTTAAGTTCAGGTTGATTGACATGTCTTGGTGAATTGTAAACAACTCAATGGTTTGATACTTTTTGTCTGGCCCCGGGCTGCAGCCTGCCCTATGATTAGTATGTATCTTGCAGGGACTGGTCAATAGATTATGCAAATAAGTGACTATGGTCTACCAAGGGGAATGGTCAGTTTGTGGCCTCGCTGGGAATGCCATGCCTTGATCCTGATAAGGAGTTGGCTTATATAAGCAGCCATCCCTAAAGAGGTTTCAGACAGGAGAAAAGGCAAGAAGCCAGAGGAGAGAAGAAGCAGAGAGAGAAGGTGAAGAACCTCCTAAAAGAACAGAAACAAAGGTCAAGGGTTATAACACTGGAGACAGTGAGAGGCTGGGAAGGGGCCCTGTGGCAGACTCAGTGATGGTGGCAGAAACCAGCTGCTAGGAATGCAGCCAAGAGAGCTGAACCAAGCTGTTAGATTGGCTGGGAGCTGGGTCAGTTAGCAGTGGACAGGCTGACACCAGGGAGCCCAGAGGCAGAGAGGTGGGCACGCATAGCAGGGAGGAGCTGAGAGCTGTCCGCACCAAAGAGGGAGAGATGAGCTCTCCGCTTCAGGGGAACCTTCCAGACTTTGTCTACATCCAAAGACCCTGATCCTGAGTGGCACCCCGTTACTTCCTTAATAAGCCACTGAAGTATAGTATGAGAGTGCTGTGCAACTATTTCAACAAAGCAGCGAACCCAGCAGAGAAATAGAGTGCCAGGAGGGGGATGCCTGGTGGCAGAAATGGTAAAGCAGCTGGAGAGTGAGCTGTGTTTGACCTCCACCTCACAGGAGTCAGCTTTAGGCTGACGGTGATTCTCTCTCCTCCTCCTGAAGTTAGAGGCCTTTAAGCGCTGCCGGAACTTTGTAGCTGTAGCGGGGTGGCACAAACTGAGACCCTGAAAGGTACAAGCTTGCTTAGGAGCAGAAATGGGCAGGGCTAGGGGAGAGGTCCCCAGGTTGGGGAGTGGGGAAGCACTGCCTTGGTCAAGTGTGAGCTGTTCCCCCACTTCATCTGCTGATGCAGGGGGAGGAGGGTTGGAAAGGCAAGTCAGCTCAATGTCAGAAGGAAGTGAATTCCAAGCAGAGTCTAGCCTGAATGAGGGAAGGGAGAGAAAGGCCTCATAGGTATTTTGAGCAGAGGCATATCACAAAGATCAGACTTCAGATACACAGAGTGAAGGAAACGGGAAATACAGGGACCTAGCCCTGTCTTAGGACTTCGGATGAGACAGCTGTCATGATCCTTCCTGTGCAACTGAGGCCAGAGTGGGGAAGGGAAGGCCTGGTCCCAAAGCAAATGAGAGACCGCGTCGGGACCAGAACCCAGTTCTTTGGACACCTAGTCTATTGGCATATCGTGACACCTGCACCCTATGGGTCCCACTGTGAAGAGGATACCCCCTACTCCTCTCCTCGTCCGGACAGGAGGGAAGGAAGAGCCAGAGTTCAGCAAACACCACCCCAGAAGGTAGTAAGGGAAGGTGACTGGCTCGGTGGTAGGGCTGAGAAGGACGGCGAAGAGTTCCCGCTTATGAGAGTTCAGGGATGGGAGAAGGCTGGTGAGAAGGGCGGCTGTGCCAAGTCGTGGGGCCGAACCTGCAGAGAGAGGCTGCTCCAGCCCAGGGGAGGCTGGAGTGGGTGCCTCACCTGGTGGTACCCTGTGCAGGTAACAAGCTTCTGGGACTCAGGGAGGAAGTGTATGTCCTGCTCCCAAATGGGAACCCGCAGGTCGAGCCAGTCATTCCGCACCTGGTGTCATGGGTAGATGGAGGACAGAGTTGGGGCAGGGCAGGGCTGACTGTGCCCCTCCAAAGCCCATCTGGCTTCGCACTCAGTCCGTGCCCTCAGCCTTCCTGGAACTTAGACCCAGCCCCTCCCCACCTGTCACTCACATTCTTGGCTCTGAACACAGGCTCCTCAGACCCCTGCAGATCCCACACCTTCAGAGCATTCTCCTTTCCGCCAGTGGCAACCGTGTGGGGGTGTGCTGGGTCCTGGCGCATCTTACACACTCCGGGGCCCACCCTCAGCTCCAGAAGCTGCAAAGAGCTCGAGATGAGAGTCAACCTCAGGGGCCTCAGCCTTCCCACCCCCAAAGCCCTCATCAGGCTCCAACCCTTTCCTTCCACCGTCCTTCCCCCCATCAGGGCAGGAGAGCCTCACTGGGTCAGAGGATGGCTCCTTGTCATCGTCACGCCAGACTCGGAGAATCCCAGAATCCACACACGTGATCAGGTTGCTGCAAGTAGAGGGAAGAAGGAGTTGGGTAGACAAAAAAGAAGAGGTGTTCCAGTCCAGGCCCTAGCCAACCTACTCCCCGATTCAAATTAGGAGGGAGATTCCCTCCCACCAGCCCAGCTTCTAAGGAGGCCTCTAAGTAACTGGGGTCTGGGCAGCGCATTACAGCTTCCAAGTCTCTTATCTTATTTAATTTCCTTAACAAGGTGAGGATGTAGGGTTTATCCATTTTATAAGTAAGGAAACGGAAGCTCTGAAAAATTGAAATATTTGCCTACTCAGCTGTAAATGTCAGAACCGGAGCTGGAACAAGTCTGGGATACTCCAAAGCAGAGTGCTTCTGCTTTTCCAACGACATCTGCAGGCATCTGACCCTGCTGATCTTTCTGAATCTTAAGTCAGTTACCAGGGGTCAGGATCACTAGCTCTGAAAGGGCTGACAGGAAGCTGCTTTGGATTTAGGGTTTGGCCACAACCAAACACGAGTTTCTCTCAAGTTCCTTGTTTCGGATCCCAGCCAGCCACTAAAATCAGTGTCTTCTTCAAAGCATCCCTCCCATGAAATCCAAAGGAGTTTGTTCCCAGGTTCTGTATAGCCTGTGCCTATGTCCTTCTCACATCTGCCCACCCTCCCCACCCTGGTTCAGGGCCTCAGTATCAATTTCCTGGACTATGGCAACAGTCTGCCAACAGCTCTCTTGCTAATCCATCCTTCCCACTCCTACATGTTCACAGCTCTGAGCACAGCACTTCCTACCCAAACCCTTCAACAACTCCCCACACCTACAAAACAAAAGAACATATCTCTCACCTTGGCACTTAAACCCCTTTGCATCTAATCCCAATCTACCCTGCCCACTCTGGACTAAAAGGCTTCCTCGGTTTCCGTCTTCAAATGCTCTGTTATCTTCCCTGAAATGGACCCTGTAAGCCTGCGACCAATCTTTGCCTCTCCCCAGTCAACACCCTTTTTCTAGGGTGCCTGCACCTCCTTCTCCATCTGTCAAAATCCTACCCATCATTCAAAGCCCACTTCAAATGTCTTATCCCCCACAGAGCCCATACAGGCCTCACCTGTCAGAATTAGCACTGCCAAACCCATGCAGCCTTACAGCTCACAGCTTTCTCTCTTCCTGTTCAGAAACCTGGACCAGTAACTTAACCACTGACACTGTCCAATCCTTTATTTTAGGAGTCTCATCACCTTGTTATTGGTGGTCAGTCCCCACTTAGAAACATGCTCAAAACGACTGAATGACTCACTCAGGGTCACCCAGAATACTGTGGCGGAGCAGGAGGGAAATCCAAGAGGATGCCAAGGCTGTGAGGACAGACCTGTGTGTGTGCGGGGCACCTGCAGGCCCTGCACTTTGCCCAGTGCCTGGAACTCAGATATTCAATAAATATGTGTTAACGGAATAAACAAAGGTAGGAGAATCTAGGTCCCTATCACCCAACGGGCCCGTGTCATCTAAGGGTTTATCGCCATTATTCAGATATCCTGAGGTAGCCTCCTCGCTCTCCGAACCAACTAAGCATTCAGAGAGGGGACCGGTCCTACCCGTCGGCCTGGGCGAGGCCTCGAAAGGTGCCCTCGCCGCCAGGACAGTGCCTCTGGCCATGGAATCTGCCCTCCTCTGTGCTGAAGTGCCTCACCGTCCGGTCCGCGCAGCCCACCAATATCTGAGGAGCAGAGGGGGACCGAATAGCGAGGGGGGCGACGCTCCCGAGTCCCCAGTCCCCCAGCTCCGGCCCCAGCCCACGACTGTTCACCTGCGTCTCGCCGTTCGAGCCCCAGCACAGGGCGCTCACCGCCTCCTCGCGCCGAGGCTGTCCTGTGCGGGTGAAGTTCGCCGCCTGTTTGCGCTGAAGGTTCACCCCTGCGAGACGCGGGCGTCAGGTGCGCTGGGATCGCGAGAGGGCGGACCCCGCGTTTCCCGATGCTCGGCCCTGCCACCCACCTTTCAGGATCCCTGTTTCAGTGCCAACCCACACGTGGTTCCAACGCGCTACAGCGGCCGCCATGACAGGTCTTTGGAGCCCGCGGCTCGTACTTCCGGCGCAATGTCTGAGTCACCAGCGGGCGACGCGTCTGGTCCAGCCAAAGCCAAAGCCAAAATCCAAACCCACTCGCATCAAGTCCATTCCGACTCACAGAGACCCCCGCTGGATTTCAAGACAGTAATCTTTTCGAAAGTAGATTGCCGCATCTTCCTTCTGCGGAGGGCTGGTGGGTTAGAACCGCCAACCTTTGGTTAGCAGTCAAATGCCTTAGAAAGGCAGTTTATGGAATTTAAAGAGCCGGAAGTGTAAAGATTCCCTGCCAGCTCCATCTTGTTTTTCCTTTTGTCTTTATTTATTTATTTAATATCTCAGGGCGATAGTTTCAGTGGTTCATCCACCTTCCATGGCTCCAGCAAGTTTAGAGCCCGTGAGACTTTTAAACTTATGTTCTAATTCTTGTGATCAGGATTCCTGTTCCAGCTTATTTTGCTTTACGAAAATTAAATTGGAAGATGTTTACGGGGATCTGAAGAGTAACTTTTGCACTTGGAGTGGATATTGCACCTGGACTGCGATGCCGGGTGGAGACAGAAGCCACTTTAGAAACTATTCAGATCCTTAATACAGTGCGTGATTTCAACCTTGAGTGTAAAAGACATAATAAAGCAAATGAAGAAACACGGAGAGAAAAATAAAACTCGACAAACTAAAACAACTCTTTTGGAAAGTGGAGTAGGGCATCGTTTTTATTTCCGCACACTGAGGATTCATGATATGTTGTTGTTGTTGTTAAGTGCAGTCGAGTCGTTTCCGACTCATAGCGACCCCATGCACAGCAGAACAAAACACTGCCCGATCCCGCGCCAGCCCCACAATTCCT